ACTGAAAGCACTTCGAGTGATGTACTCGCAGTAAATGAGTGAATAAACTAATAAATTACTTGATTTAGGCGAAGATAAGCATAAGTATCGGTGAATTGAACGTTGCAACTAGTCCGAGCTGTTCGATTCTCTATCGCATTGTTCAATAGGAGTAATGCACCGGATCAACACGTTTTCCTAATGAAACACGTGTACCCGAGGAAAGCACACAAATAGAACCCGCTAGCACGGATATGATTGATTTGTGTTTAAGGAGTCGGAAAACGGGAAGTGAGCTGATTGACGTATAGGGGTTTCCGACCGTCTCGGTCGAGCACAACCGTGAAATTGATTATTTTGTTTTTCGCGATACGCATCGCCTTTGAACACCCCTTTTCTTCCATCCTAACCGGCTGACAATTCAAAAATAGCGCAACGCTTCTGCATTTATACATTCTGCTCTCAAACATTGTCTACCAACGTGTTCAACACTTAGAATGCATCGTTTTGTAATATCTCCTTGTTCTTAAGCTTATATTTTTTATCGTTTAATTAGATACGTTATATTAAATAGATATCGTTAAATAGATACTTTTTCGTCTTCTTTTTTTACGAAAACGATTTCTTTCCGCATTTTTCGAAAGATATATGTCTGATGATTTTATTAGTCCGCATAAGCGATTTTTGAGAATCGGAGATATTCTCAGATTTTATACGGCATGACAAATTGCTCGTAGAAATATGATTTACGGCTTCTAGTTAGTCAAATATATACGATCGCGTCCGATTCAAAGAAAAATTACACGATCATCGTTTACACGGTAGTAAAAAGAAGAAACGATTATATTACTTCTCCAAAAATACTTAGGATTATTATTTGGGTCATTCTTAGTATGGGTAGCGTTGTGATGAACGGTATAAATTTTTTAAATTATTGTACATTTCTTCCTCTATTGAGATTATACCAAATAAATATATGATTGAATACTGAAACTTGGAAAGGGTTGACGATTTCTACATGAAGAAGATTAATACATGTGGTTTTCGTAGAAGTTGCATGTCACTACATATCATCATCCTGTTCCGAAAATTACAGAACTCATTTACTTTTACTGTTTCTATTGCACATTATGTTTATTTTTTATTTGTACAGAGAAATATCCGTTGAGGTCTTCAATACGTACTGCTGGATACACAGTACTTATTTCGTGACCGATGCTATGCTTGGTACTACTGGGATAGATGTTGCGGCAGCTGGAATTGCGCCGTCCCGTGGAAATCGTCGTCACCGTCAAGGGGACAACCCATTTTCCGAACAGGAGTCGACCAAGAGCGTGAAATACTACCAGTGGGTCGTGTTCGTCCTGATATTGCAAGTGAGTTGCGTATTTTTTACTGCCTTATATTTAGACCGCGCGTCGAATAAATTATGGAGGAAAGACACGAAGGACACGCTGAGATCTTCGCTCCCATCAACAACCCTTACCATGTTATCGGTTGTTATTTAGGAATTATCTGCTTCAAGTATAAATTATATTGGGTCACTTCATAACTCTTTGCGTAATTCATTCTGTAATTATTGAGATTTGTAATACTGGTACAAAACATAAATAAATGTACAAGTCTCTTTGGATTTTGTAGTACTTGATCATACTTTAATCTGTCGTTTAAATTAAAACGGGCCATTGAAATATGAAATTGGTACAGGAAAATATGATAATAACATTGTAAATTCAATAAAAAATTAAAAAAAAAAACATTTTACTGAAAGCACTTCGAGTGATGTACTCGCAGTAAATGAGTGAATAAACTAATAAATTACTTGATTTAGGCGAAGATAAGCATAAGTATCGGTGAATTGAACGTTGCAACTAGTCCGAGCTGTTCGATTCTCTATCGCATTGTTCAATAGGAGTAATGCACCGGATCAACACGTTTTCCTAATGAAACACGTGTACCCGAGGAAAGCACACAAATAGAACCCGCTAGCACGGATATGATTGATTTGTGTTTAAGGAGTCGGAAAACGGGAAGTGAGCTGATTGACGTATAGGGGTTTCCGACCGTCTCGGTCGAGCACAACCGTGAAATTGATTATTTTGTTTTTCGCGATACGCATCGCCTTTGAACACCCCTTTTCTTCCATCCTAACCGGCTGACAATTCAAAAATAGCGCAACGCTTCTGCATTTATACATTCTGCTCTCAAACATTGTCTACCAACGTGTTCAACACTTAGAATGCATCGTTTTGTAATATCTCCTTGTTCTTAAGCTTATATTTTTTATCGTTTAATTAGATACGTTATATTAAATAGATATCGTTAAATAGATACTTTTTCGTCTTCTTTTTTTACGAAAACGATTTCTTTCCGCATTTTTCGAAAGATATATGTCTGATGATTTTATTAGTCCGCATAAGCGATTTTTGAGAATCGGAGATATTCTCAGATTTTATACGGCATGACAAATTGCTCGTAGAAATATGATTTACGGCTTCTAGTTAGTCAAATATATACGATCGCGTCCGATTCAAAGAAAAATTACACGATCATCGTTTACACGGTAGTAAAAAGAAGAAACGATTATATTACTTCTCCAAAAATACTTAGGATTATTATTTGGGTCATTCTTAGTATGGGTAGCGTTGTGATGAACGGTATAAATTCTTTAAATTATTGTACATTTCTTCCTCTATTGAGATTATACCAAATAAAGTCTTTAAACAACATAATGATGAAATCATCAAATCACATTATTATTTATATCAGGTTTCCTATAACGTACAGCATGTGGACCACAGTCGCTGCTAGAAATTTTTTCGTAAATTGTAAATCATTCGGCCACGTGGTCTGTTTCAAAATTGATCTTTAAGAACGTGTCTATGTCAAATCATTTGATATCGAAGTCCGTTCTTATTTTCATCGCGTACGTTTTTCACAGCCTAGCGATGGCAAGAGGTTTCGCGAATATTGCAGATTACGGCGACATAAAGTACTATTTAGAGGAACGACGATGATTGTTATCTCTGAAAATATGGGAAACCTGTGGAAATATGAAAATATCACGAACACCGGGCAAGTAGACTTCAAGAAGTACTCCACGACTTTTATCACTTTAGAACTCGCATAGATCGACTGAATTTCTTTCAAAAGTCTTATTTTATTAGAACATATGATATCGAATAATGTAATATAACACTTCTTCTGTTACATAGCAGATTATATGTTACTATAGCAAGTTCATAAAACATTTTGCATCTCATTATTCATACTCGCGTAAATCGTTCAGGACGTACTTTTTCTGTAATTTTATTGAAAAATCAAAGTAGGTCTAACAAAAAATTCTGGCTACGACGTTAAGTTATTAACTCGAAAATATAGTGACAGAATCTTTCCAATTGATAATACCTGGTACGTGAAAATTAAAAATTTTAGTTGAAGTAGTCCTAAAAATTGATTACATACTGGATATGAATAGAACCGAAAAATAATAATTATACAACTGATACAATATGGATTCCGAAGAACCGAGACCAACACCGATACAATGTTTGGGCCGATATATCTAATAACAGTTATAGCATTCTCTCAGTCCTCGATAATTGTTTCAAGTACCAGAAGAAGACATCATAATTGTTTTTAATCCCTGATTACAATATCATTAATAATATCATGATTTTGACAAGATTAATTCATAATTACTAATTGAGTTGCTTAAACTCTCGTACTTAAACTACTCCTTGTAATACCAAGTTATCAGAAAAATGGATTGGGTTTAAGATATCGATTTAAGATTTTTTTGAAGAGAAATAATTATATTTGGCAAAGATATCGTGTACACACTGCCGCGTTACGGTTACGATACTATAAAAGCTTAATCTTATCCACTCGAGTTTTCGCGGGCCTGTCCAACATTTCTCTTACGCGTCGCGCCTCCAACGTTCGAGCGTTTCGGGTTTGGTGTTTCTATTCCTGGAGCGGGTTGACTCCTCGCTCTCGGCTCCTACGGGAGGTGCTATGCCCTGGCTAGCAAACACGAGCAGTCGAGCAGAGTCGTGCTTTTCGTATCTAGCGTGCTTTGTACGTGGCGTGTGGAAGACTGTTCGCGCGTGCCGATACTATTCTCGCCGAAAATGCACGTTCATTCATTAAAAAACGAGATGCTGCTTGCGGTTCTATACTCGTGCATGTTCGCCCGTCTCAATGAAACCGAAGGATTCTTTACATGTACAGTTGACTAAAATTTATTATTAGTGCGCGAACATCACGCTATTCTCCTGTGATAGTGTCTGGGTTGAGATATACTTATTCTACTTTTAATGAAAATGGAATACGTTGTTGGCTTGTAGGACAAACTTGCTTTCCACTTTTCGGTGTCTGCACGTTGAATTTAAAATTTCAATGAAAATGCGATCGAGAGTCGTGACGAACATAACTTGTTTAACATGTGAATTCTTTTTAATTTGTTGCGGTAAAATTTACATTTCAATACTTTTATTATATTTAGTTATAGTTTATTATCAGTGTTGAACTCACGTGTGACAGTGTTTTGAGGTGTTCCTGGTTCAATGCGAGGGAAGTTTGAGAGATAGATTTTGATTAAACGGTGTAACAGTAGAACTTATTACTTGTGCTGTGGAGCCGCACTGTCTTCGCCGCGCGCCGGTTTCTGCGTGCGGCGTCGATGAAAATTTTTCAATTGCCCCTCGACTATTTTCGGGCTTGAGCTCAGTACGATATTTATTAGCCTCGCGACACCATGCGCGCGTACATTTGATATTCATTTATCGGCAACAATGTCTTCCTTCTGTTATCTTTGAGAATGACTAAAAAACGTTTTGAAAGAGAAAGAATGGTGCATAGAGGAAATAGAGATAGAGCTTCGTTTCGTAGTAAAGACTCATACAATTTGGTTTATACGTCTTTTCTTATTTTAGCAAGAAAGTAGGAATAGTTAAAAGGTGATAAGAGTAGAATTCTAATGAAGTACTCTGCAAGTTTTCTATCTTCGCGAAAAGTTCAATAAAATAGGAAGAATTGATGAAATGAAAAAATTTTCTCTTCAGTCGTAATACAGAAAAATTGTAATAAAGAATCAAACAAAGTAACATTTTTAAATAGTTTAAGTAATTATAATTCCATAACAAAAGTAAATTGTAAAAGTGTTCATGAAAAAAGGAAAAAAGAATTAATTCATTAGTTGCTCAGTCCTGATGGGTCCGGTGATACCATTCTATAAAATTGTCATTAAATTGATTGGTGGAAAACTACGTAGGTATAAAAAGTAGCTGCGATTTTATTTTCAATTTCTGTCAAGTTATAATATACCCTATATTCACGTGTGGCAGTTATTCATAATTTAATTCATTTCCTGCAATCAGAAGAGCTGTCTATCTCTTGTTTGATTTATGCAATCAAGTTTCATGCATTCACATTATGCATCTTATTAAGTTCTCTATCGTGTTTAAATCTTTGAAAGAAATTTCGGGAAGATGACACGAATCTGTTTTATGTTTGACGTTACAAGAATTCTTGTATCGTTGAAGACAAAACATTCTGTGTTACGATCGATTAAGTAAAATTGTACCAGTCATAAAAGATTTTTTATTACGTGTAAAATCTGATTCGAATAAATAACGCGAATATTTTCAATGTCTATTTTCCTAACAGTTGAAAATTTAAGTAAAATATTCCATGTAAAAAACATTTAAGGATGTATTGGCTATATAGTCAATCCCAAAAGTTTATGTACCTTAGAAAAACGCATTTCCTATAATTAAAAATAGTGCACTTTTCGTCTAATTTCGATATTTAATGAGTTAAGTATGATTATTTGGCATTTTATTCATGTTGACGAAATCCGACCATTCCAGCGTCGAAACTTTTGGAAAAAAATTTCGTTTTTCCTCAATAACTCCTAAACCGTTCGACTTACGGGAAAATTGCATACGACCTTTCTTGTAGAGAATCTAATGATTAATGTATTGTAATGATTCCAGCAATATGTACATGTAAATATTGCAGAAAATATTCTTACATTAAATTGTGTTTCGTGATAATTAATTGTAATACTTTTAATATAGCGAAACCAATTAATGTACTTTTATGTGCCTCTAAATTAGAAAAATAAGCTTAGAAATAATCTATTACAGCTTTTCAAAGGTTCCAACAAGATAAATTTATTAGTGCTCACTGCAAAACGGGTTCGTTGAACGATATAAGAAACACTTGGATCGTTGATCTTCCAAATTGTTTCAATCTGAGCCATTTCAATTCCTCTGACACGTACCGAGTATAGAGTTCCAATGAGCAAAATTTGTCTATTCTCAAAGATTATTTTATTACTGTCAGGTTATTTCATTGTCTTCACTTTTCGTTCTGTTCTTCCTTAGATCAATTTTACAAAATTATAAACATTGAGTTCAATTAATGCTAAGATTCAGGTTTCCCAGAATGCGCGATTTTGCTCTGAGGTTGCGAAATTCTATGTCGAAAAGTCCTCTTCCACTGTTTCTTTCGATCATTATTAAAAAAAGGAATTAATGAAAAAATGGAATTAGACACTGTGTAAAACAAGAACAAGCATAGTTAAAGTCAATTCTCTTTAGCAGTTAAATTCAATAAGAATGATATGAAAATGTTCGAATTGTACCTATTCGTTGATTACTTTATTTTTAACAAAACGTGCTTCGCGCGTTCCAAATACATAATGTTTTGTCAATGTTACAATCGTTAGAACGTAGCTGATCGAGACGATTACGCGAATCCATGATGTTTTGTCTCCGCGCGAAGAAATCGTGGGTGTGTTTCGCTCGCTTTATGTGACAGGTGTTACCGTTTCGTTGAAATACGTCTCTCCGTCGGTGACAAATCTTAGGGATCACCTCACGCTGACACATTTATCCCTTCATCTTGCGTCCGGCGCCCGTCCACTGGTTTTTGTTAAGGGATTTATCGACCTAACGATGATGCTTCATTGCTTGTCCGCAAAAGAAAGCGGAAGCTTAAGATGCTACCGTTATGGATCAAGTC